AAAAAACTGACTGATCATATATTTCTTAAAGTATTCCATAAGTAAAGCCTGTATATCCGAACACCTCTCTAATCCGAACACCTCTAAATGTGAACCCTTTTATATGAACACCTGCTAATCTGAACAATTTCTGCCAGTCTCAAAAGTGTTCAGATTAGAGAGGTTTTCCTGTAATTAAAAATATAGCAAAATATGACCAGGCAGTACATAATCTTCTGGTGTTCTTTTTTTGTGCCAACTACCCTTTACGTACTATTAACAAACTATCCTACAGTGGTGTTTATTTTAGGTGTTTCAGTATCGCTTTAAATCTCATTTGTACATACAGTTAAACCTATCTAAGTGGATCCACTTTGATACCTCTAAATGTGTTCCACTTGCAAGGTGTTCCACTTAAAGAGGTTCAACTTAACATTAAGTCAGTTGGTCTTGGTCTTATTTGACATTAAAACTTGAAAGCATGATTGGACTCTGTTTTCAAGGCATCGGAAGCCAGTATACTATGATTTCAAGATTCTTATTTTGCAAAGATGAGTATTGAAAACAGATAGCTATCATCTGCTTACATCACTATTACTACAAATGCTGCTTCCCAAAGTCTAAAAATAACACCAGAGCATAGAACCAAAACATAGAAATAACTATGCACTTACAGAAATAACCAACGAATTATTTGTTGATCTGGGGGCTTATACCATGCTATGTACATATGTACATATATATCTGTAACTGTTCATTTCAGGTATGTGTTTAGTTGGAGCAAGCTGCTGTTGAATATGTCATGGAGGATCTAGGTAAAATATAAAGGTTAAGCCCTCCCAGGTCCATCCTCCTAAGCAGGTATCCAAAATCCGTACCTCCTTCCCCCTGCTATAACCAATTTGGAAGTGCCCGATTAAACTGAATCGTGTGATCTAATTATGCGCAATGACTTATACTGTGACATGATTTCTGTCGCAGTGTTGCGACAGCCAATCAGATTGCGAGTTCTTAATGGGGGAAATGCTTACTGCTTATCGCAGGGGGTAAAAAGAAAGAATATATTCTGGATTTTGAAGCCCTGTGATCGGAGGATGTCGCAGGTCCCAAAATCATTTTCAAAATCATGCAGTTGATAGTCATTTTGAGCACTTTTCAAGTAATTTTGGGCCAACATTAGGGAGTTTAAGCTTGCATATAAAATCGAAATGCCAACCTATGGTATGTATGACCAATCACCCATACAAATGCATTGTTTAAATATTTTGTGTTCATGTTTAGGTTGTGAAAAACATTGCAAGCTTAAACTCTCCACTGTAAACTTTTAACCTCCTGGAATTTTGAAGTACAGTACTGAATGCCCCTTGGCAAAGGGTAGCTACAGGCCTACCTCTCTTTTACTATTCTGATGTTCAACACATCTTTCTGTTTTTTTACACCTGGCATTTGGAAAAGTAGTCTTGCATTGAGAGCTTATACTCCCCCACACACCTCTTCCTGGCAAAGAAGGCATAGAGGGGGTATACATAGGGTCTTAATACAAGACTAGGGAAAGTTACAGATGCTTGTGGTCTACTATGATACCCCTCACACCTACTATAAGATGTTGTACAGTGAAACTTCTAGAAGTAGAACACCTATGTTAGTAGAAACTTTTCAGATTCTAAGACCAACTGACTTCATGTTAAATGAACCTCTGTAGGTGAAACACGTCCTTAGTGGAACTCTTTTTAGAGCTACCTAGGGTGTTCCACTTTGACAGGTCTAACTATATATTGTTAATTACATATACAGTTTGTGTCTCAAGAGCCAACTTTTTCTAAAATACTTATAATTTTGGAGTCATATATTTTTCCCATTGTCTTGGTCATTCAACTATGTTTTATCAATTTTATCAAGATAGTTCTAGAAACTTAAGATGACGTAAAACTGGTCTGTTTTTCTAAAGTTTAAATTATACAAATGTAATTATTCTTATCTCCAACTCAAAAACATATGGCCAAAGTACATCATGTTCTTTATTACTACTAAAGGATGGTAGAAGTTAATTTTCTGATTCTAACACTTGATGTTTTTTAAATTGATAAGAATGTGGATTTTTTTGCTTTTTTCTTAATTCTTGCACTGGTGGCTCTGGCTCAAGAAGAATGACAAGTGGGATCCTTCAGCGAGAAATGTATATAAGATCACCACTGCCCCACTCATATTATGCATAGGCTAAGAGGGAAAGAAACCCCAGGCAGGGTTCAAAGATGACATACGCTTATAATGTAAATCTGTATTGAGATGACATCGTCGCTGATTGGTTTAGCGAGTCAATCATTGATTGGTTTAAAACTAGGTAAATTTGAAAACTTTGAAAATCAAGATAGAGGGTAAGTACTTCCGGGAAAGGAGGTACGCGAAGGAGGAAATTGTATGTCATCAATTGAATCATGGGGATTTCCCTCCTCTTGCATAGGCTAAGGGGTGAAATGTGATGATCTGAGTTGCCTGCTGATGACGCAGTCAGGCGGGGATATGGCGTTATCTTTTTTAACAAATGTGATTGTGACTAAGGAGGGGATCTTGAGAGGAGGCACACGGGGCCCAGAACCATAAAATTAACTTAACTTCCCCTTAAAATTGTCAAAAGGGTGCCATAAATTTATGTAATGTCCTCATTTTCACATGAACTACTTTTCACCCCTAATATTGCTCCATCTTTATGAAAATAAATAAAATCATATAAAAACCCTATTAATTTCTAGTAATCTGCATTTTGACTCAAAACAATGCGACAATTATCAGAATTTATAATGATACACGAACTAGAGAGAAACATAATACCTACAAATAAGGAAATCAATGAAACTCCCCATCCATCCAGGTTATGCATGAGAATTGCGTATATACTGGTTATATGACGTACAAATCAAAGCATGATGTAATTATATCATATATGTCTATATTTCATAAGGAAGATTGAGGGTCCGCTTCCTTCTTATCTATTGAGATTGTGTTTCAACTGGTGCATGACGACTCCAGATCAATATAATGATATCACTTCACGTTTATATGTTTGTTCTACATGGATTAATTCATTTATTAGCAACCAGCAATAGAATATTATTAAAAAACAAGTGTCACTGATCAAATATGAATCTCTAAATTATTTCACACATACACTGACACGGTATGCTACTTTATTCATTTTGATAACTAAATAATTTGTTTGTTTTATTGGTTCTTGGTATCAGATTTTTTATGTTTGTTGGTTGTTTTCAACATGAGTGTGTAATTTGACAATTTCCCTTGCATCACTAGTTTATCCAATCTTAAAATCTTAAAATGTTACACAAACACGATCCTTTAACACTACTCATACTAATACACTAAAATCTTTGAACACCAACGGGCTGCAAGTATTCGAATTAGCAGGTGTTCACATACAAGGTTTTTCAAATATTTGAGTCAATGGGGTGGAGACATGAACCAATGAGAGATGACAAATTTGGAACACCAAACACCAAGGAAAAGTGTTTATACTGAGAGGTGTTTGAATTGAGAGGTGTTCAAGTATACAGGCTTCACTGTATTACTCCACTGACATTAACCTGTAAAGTGAATATCATCTATTTTGTTTGGTGACCTTAGATCACCCCAGCATTAACTGAGCCATGAGCTGTGTTAGATCATGTTACACTTTTATGTTTATATCTATTTAGTATGTTTACAAAACTGATACTGACATTATGTGAAATTTACCTCCTGTTTTGAAAATATTAATTTTTTAACAGATATATGTGCACATTTGAAAAACTATCCATAATTTGACAGTTTTCAGCAGAAAAGTATTTTTTGATTGTTGACCTATTTATTCAATGCAAAAAGTAACTTAGACTCAAAAATCTTGCTTCAAGAGTGTGTACCCTCTTTATCTACCTCACCATCACAACAACTTGTGGCTCACAAGGGCTTGTTGCTAGACTATCTATTTCTCTTTACCCCCCCCCCCCTCCTCCCCCTTATAAATAGCAAGAACAGGTAAACATAAGTATCCCATTACTAAATGTACTAGGTAAAATAGAACTTCCATTATTCTATTTACCACAGTCGAGTCCAAAATATTTTGCATGAATTTATGGCACTAGGTTTTAGCATTCCTGATATTTTTTTACAATAAATCTTTTCATTCTGTGATGCGACTTGTGAAAAATATACTCAAAGGTTCAGCAGATTTTATTTCTTTTTATGAGTTTTTGAATAATTCAAAGGAGACTTAAAGATTGTTTGTTCCTTTCCTAAACACAAATGCATAGAATGCGTAAACAAGTTGCATTCACAACTCTGCATTGTACAAATATATTTAACTGTATGTATGCACTCTTACATTTTCAAAAATTAACACAGGGTGTACTTCAACATACAAGACAGTTAAGTTAGACAGATATTCCTGTTCCATATTAATGATGGGGTGACCTGAAATGACTTCAAATTTTTGATTGTGTTGAGTCAGATAAAAAGCTAGGCAGCTAATTATTACACAAAAATTACATTTCTTCCCAATCAAAATGCAAAGCTAGGCTGGTTCCATTTTGATCATCGAGGTATTTCATACGACTGACAGATAACAATGGTATAATACTGGACATTGTGTGACTATGGGTTGGTCCAAGAGTCCTTTAAGTCTTACACCTTGCCCATATTTTACCACTTCAAAATGTCCCACTCTCTCTAGAAATTCTGGGGATCACTGTAGAGAGGAGAACATGCTTGATGCACGAGGGGTTAACTGAACATGGATGTTACTCAAAATTGATTAAACCTATGGACAGTTTTGTTGAATAAGCATAAGGGAGAGGGGGGGGGGTGAGACTTAGACTATCTACTCCAAAGACAGAAAATCGTTCAGGGAAGCATGAGAAGAGGCAGGGGGTGGTGGCACTGGTAATAGATTACACCTAAAAATATATGATCCTTTTATAGTTAATTGAAATTCAGGGCATGATTAAAACACTTGAATCTTAATTCATTCTTACCCTCATCTCTACGTTGTGATTCATGGTCATCCCCCTCTTCTGTATTCTCATTGGCCACAAGGTTGAGGTCACATAGCGAGCCATGGTGACTTGATCGCGATACAGGCGAGTCCTGTTCAGTAGCCGTGTCATCCCTAATTTTATCACCTCCATCATGTATTATTTCATGGACATCTGGAGCGGGTGGACCAAGGGAATCATCAAGATTTTGCTCTTTTTGAATGTCACAGCCGTCAAACCCTGGGGATCGCTGTGAATTTAGACGTTCTTGAATGTCGTGTAATTCATTTCTTTGTACTCTCCGTAGTTCTTGCACATTATCGCTGTCAAACTGCTGAGAGTTGATGCGATTTTGCATACTTATCATATCGGTATGCTGCGATACAGGTAGTGCCCGCACATTTTGCATTTCAAAACGTTGAGCATGGTTCTGTCGCTGTTGAATTGTGTCATCTCGATTATTTGGCTGTTGATGTAAAGATGGACCAGAAGAAACATCATAGTGCTGGGATGCTAAACGTTCCACGTCCTTGCTGCTCAATTCCGTTAATTTGCTCCCTTCAAAATGATGCGAACTGATGCTACGGCCATCTTCCTTGCTGTTTGACTGAGGTGATGGGAGGTCTTGAATGCTTCGACTACCCTGCTGTGTAAACCTTTGAAGATTTGAAACATTATCTGAGGTACTAGATTGGGGTGATGGGAGGTCTTGCATGTTCTGGCCATAACGTTGAAGGGGAACCCCTTGACTATTTTCAGAATTGTTAGTTTTGGGGGATTGCAGCTCATGAATATGCCTACCATGGGGCGCGTAACGTTGAAGATTGAGGTCTTGAATTGTTTGCGAATTGCTTAACTGAGGGGATGGAAGGTCTGATGCACTTCCGCTCTGTGTTTCAAAACAACGTTGATTGAGGCTTTGACCAGTTTCTGAATTTTTGGGCTGGGGGAAAGATCGATCTTGAATAGTACGACCCTGAGTTTCAAAACGTTGAAGTGTATCTAGTGTTTTCAGTACATTTTGCACAACTCCATGTTCTGATTTGGGCGAAGTTGAATCCCGACTTTTTCTACCATCATACCGGAGTGTATCAAGAGTTTTCTGTACATTCTTTACCGCACCTTGAATCATGGCCTCTTGCAGTGCATGCTGGGCTTCCTGAAGAATATTTCGTTCAGGGGGTGGTCGCTCTTGGATAGATCTCGACTGAACGTCAAAACACGGAGCATTCAATCGTCCCTGAATACTTTGACCAGTACTGCTTGGAAAGCTTTGAGGCTCCTGTATATTCTGGTCCATGTTATGCAATTGTGTATTTTGAAATTCGAACCCCCCTGGCAAATTCATATCCACAGGTGCCTGCTTGAAAAGCGATTTTATTGAGCCAGTGGGAGGCTCTGTTTCTCGTGCTAGCCCATGATCAATAGGGTTTGATAAAGGCTTTTCAACAAGTGTATCCTCCATGCATTCTAATTATTCATATCCACATTAATAATTGTCCATACATTGACGTATAATAGTGTTATTTGCAGAAAATATACTCAAGATATTCCAGATTTCCAATGTTTTCGTAGCTGAGTACTCATGTACGCATGCGCAGGTCATCTGAGGGCACTGGGCCACTTGCAAATCATGGACGTTTGGATTCACCAATTTTGTTCTTAACATTTTTCTACATGCATTTATAGATGGTGTTACTGTCAACTAAAGACTATTTTAGTCATATGCAACTGTACCTTTAACACGGGCCGGGGGGGGGGGGGGGGGGGGGGGGGAAAGGAAGGCAGTTGTCAGGGGCGGTCCTGGAAATCAAGAGGAGTGGGGGGGGGGGAGGTCAAAGTCCCACCCAAATTTTGGGCAACAAACTTGAAGTTTTGGGCCCAATTTAGGCTAAACATCTGCCATTAGGCAAAGAGAGCCAGTCAGGTCGTGCAAAAAGTCCCAAATATCCAGAACCAAGATCTAATCCACAAATACATATGCATAGCCAAGGGGGGAGGGATACGATGGGAGCGATCGCACCCCCTCGTCCCCCATAACCAATGAAAATATAACAATGAGACTAAGAGCTTCAAAATGCTTTTTGTTTGAAGTTTCTAGCTCAATTTGAAAGAAGTTGCATCAATTTTTGTAAAATTCAAGACAAATTTTAACTTTTGGCTTGTTTAGGCCACAATCGCACCCCCGACTGATAACCAACTTTTTTTGGCGATTGCGCCCCTCCCCAAACTGACTGAAAGCTGACTACGCCCCTGAAAGATATCTCATTTGCAGTGAGCCCCGCTAGATTCATGGCAACTTGGACAACAACCCCGGGACTACAACCAGTCTCATTTAATTCCAATTATTTATCAACATAATAGGGGTCATAAACTGCTAGTGCCTGATTAGGCTGCTTGAGCAGGCCCATAGCCAGGATTTGCCAAGGGGGGGGGGGGGGGGGGTCAGTTTTCAAAAAATTCCAGGTGGGGTTCACATTTGACAATTTTGGCCCAAATATGGCTAAAATCACTTGAGAAGTGCTGAAAATGGTGAAAAACTGCACGATTTTGAAAGAAATTTTGGCCCGACCCCTGCGACCCCCCCCCCCCCCCTGAGCATGACCTTTTTCAATCTGGGGTAGGTCTCGAGATAACTATGACATCATATAGATGTGAAGACATTGACATGTCAAGTCGACTGCCACTTAAAATTGATAACCAATAACATTGGCCATACCGATATCCGATATCCACCTCGATTTGAACGTCATTCCATTGTACGAGGGTATATCATAAAGTTCTCATAATCACCCCGGGTGATCAATATCCTGTGTTCCGAATTTCCTTCCAGCAAGTCAGTGACCCGAGTTGTGTTTTACTGAATCCCGACAAATATGGCGGCTAATTTGACAACAGACGATGTTGATGTCGACAATTATTCAAAACTTTCTGACAGCATAAGGTAAGACTGAATATAGAGTGGCGCATTCGGTGCCTAAATATGTTTGCAACATTTTCTTAGTTGTTTATCCATATGCGTTGGGCATTACTGCTAATCGAAGCATAAGTAAACGTGACCTCATTTTCAACGCTCGCTGGAAAGTATGTCACCGAGCAGTTTTTGACCTTCTGTTAGTTAATGAGATAAACTGTTATCATGGTATAATTGCTGGGTAGACGTTCAAAGTATGTACCAACTCGTGCTTCCAGTGAATGTAAACCATTTCTTTGCATAAGCGTCCTAGAAGGCATAATAAGATATATTCCATAGTACCGAATAAGAATCGCCAGTGTTCCGACGCACTTCATGGATAAATGCTTATAGACTATTGAATCATAATGAACAGAAGCAGTGTATATTCACGTGTGATATCTTAATTTATCAAAAATAAGAATTGAATGCATTTGATAATATTGATACTTTGCCAACTTGACTGATTTTTTTCTAGTCTGAGTAATTAATAAATGAGTAGTGGATTTGATTAATTGAGGATTTCCCATGTTAAAATATGTGAAAATTGTCAAGAGGCCACACACATCAGAGGATGAGAGTACAATACAACATGTGTAAATTATGAGACTATGTTGCAACACCTTCAAAGAATGGTCATTTCACAATCCACATTGCACATACTGTAGCAGGCATTTTTATGATATATTTTAACATTGTCACAAAAACCAGGGATTGACAAAAAATATAGCATATCATATAGCAGGTATATGCCAGGTATTGTAATATATTTCAACGTTGTCACTGTTAGAGTAGGCATTACAATTTACCCATAAAAATACAATAATATTGACAACAGGCTAAAAAGTCTTCACTTAGTAAGCCATAAATGTCACATAAAGGTGACGGTCACACCAGGCTTTCACGATAGCATTGCTAAGGTAATGGCAGGATCCATGCATAATTTATTAAATCAGGCCTGCAGATAGGAGGGGGGGGGGGGGGGGCCTGGTCAGAAATTTTCTCAAAAACTTGCAGTTTTTCACCATTCTGAGCACTTTTCACATGATTTTTTGCCAAAACAACAGATGCCAGCCAGATCATACTTATAGTAGAAGGCTAGGCTCAAATAAACCTCAAATTGAGGTATTATCATTGAGATACTGATACTATACATACGATCGTGCTATCAAAACTGTCAAAAAGCCCCCCCCCCTTGGCAAAAACTCCACCCTTGGTAAAACCGCTCCCCAATGGTGAATCCTGGATACGGGCCTGTAAATGGACATCGTGGTTGTACCAGACAGCAATGCAATGTTTTGATTTGCACACATTTTTTATTTTTAAAAATCTAATTGAGAGCATCCTAATCATGTGAAAAGTTCAATTTTTTTGAACAGTTATATTCCTTCTATAAAGTGGGTACACTTTTTGGGACACCCTGTATTTGCAGTTCAATGCCAATGTGGAAATCAATATACAGGGAAATTCGATCTTGAATTTGTAAAATAATAACAAGAAAGGTAGCACCAAATTAGCTTGATGTATTCATGAATGGATTCTCAAAAGTATACAAAATATATATAATCTTATTCTGTAGCTTCGGGACAATGACTATTCCTATTCGGTAGAATGGAATATATCTTTCAACGACTTCTATGACGCTTATGAAAGATAATAGCTTGGATTCAAACATAGCACAAGTTGAGACATACTAATAAGGTATACTTTACAGTTATACAATGCTCAGAGTATCCATCATTACTTACAGAAGGCAAAGAACGACTCGCTGATATCGTTTTCTGCGAGCTTTTCGAATTGGGTCATGTTGGTTTCATGCTTCGATTTGCATTAATAGCCTACACATATGGATAATCGTTTAGGAACATGTTGAAAACATATTCCAGCACCGAATGCATTACTCTATATTCATTCTTACCTTATGCTATCTGATTTGTTTGACACATTTTCGTCACCTGGCTCGTCCAGTGGCGAACGAGACGCCATATTTATCGGGATTCAGTAAAAACACAGCTCGGGTCACTGACTTGCTGGAACGAAATTCGGAACACAGGATATTGATCACCCGGGGTGATAATATCTCTCTAATTTTTTTTAAAAATATATTCTGATGAATTTTTCACATAATGTGTAGTATAGAATGCTGTATTAATCTATCAAAAAATATTTGCCATAATAGAAATATTATTCAAGAAATGGTTGCCATAGTAACCGAAAATCAAGGCACCCGGGACTGTGCAAGAATAGCGCCAACTAACCAAAGAATGGGTATCGATATGGCGAACTTTTTGAACACACGTTTCTCTTAAACCAGTCATCAAAAATTTCTGAAAATCTTACAAATTGTCAATTTAATGGCCATCTTTTGAATGGTAACAATATGATTTGAAATAGATATACATACTTTCACCTATATTATTTTAAAAAACACATCAAACACTTGTTTTGTTCTTGGTATTATGTTTCCAGAGTGTAATGAAACATCTTTCCGAACCTCATTGGAACAAAACGACATAAATACAACATGTTTAGGTTTCTCAATATTGTAATTGTACAAAGGAAATTTTGGTTGATTTTAAAAAAGTATCTTGTTAATGAAATAAAAGGTTTTTCTTGATTTTTATCTATTTTGGGGGGATTTTGTTTTTAATTTTTTGAATACTTTTTTAAAATCAACCAAAAATTCCTTTGTATAACTTTAATATTTAGAGGTCTAAAAACATGTTGTATATGCTATTTTGTTCCAACAAGGTTCGGAAAGACATTTTATTTCATTCTCAAGAGTAGAAAGGAGCAAAAACAATTGCACTAAAAAAAACAAAAAATGTTAACAAAAACAGTTAAATAAAATATTTCTAAATAATTTTCGCATTAAATTGTTGTCAATCATTCAACATTACATAAAATACCATGTTTTTTACAGAATGTTTTCAATGATTGGTTTAAGAGAAAAACATTGTTGGATTCAGTTCTCCATATCGATACCTATCCTTTAAATGCATATAAGTTATCAAATAAGCTATAGAAACACATTAAATTGTTAAATACCATGTGTTCTTGACTATTTTGAACAATTATAATGGTCATGTGAATTATGTGATCTCATAATGGATGATTTTAATGCCTCATTAGAAGTGATATTAGACACTACAACTGTTTTGTCAAATATTCTAAGGAAAGTCGATTTTCCCCCTTTAGTTTATCTTAAATATGTTTTGACTACAAATAGGGGGGTGATTTTGTTGATATCTTTGCAACATATTTGTTTTCGATCATCTAGTATGAGCAAAGGATTTTTAGAACCTAACTAAACTTTTTGTAAGTATGAATTTTATTTTTCTGATGATCTCTGCAACTATGCATTATCTTACTCAGTCATTTCTGATCATTAAGCTTTGATTCTCAGAGTCTGGTATCACATCTAATGAAGCATGTAAGCATCCCCTGTGACATCACATAATTCACATGATCAATTTATTTTATAGTAAAAGCATTTAACAACATATTCAAGATAACATTTTAATGTGTTTGATAATTTATGAGAGTTTATTATGTATGTAAACATGGTTAATTAAGCTCATTTTCTCAATTATTTTTATTTGCCCCGGGTGCCTTGATTTCTGGTTACTATGGC